CTGGAGGATTTGGGGTCTGGGGGATTTTGGGGTTTAGGGGGGTCTGGGGGCTTTGAGAGTCCCGGAGGATTTGGGGGGGGTCTGGGGAATTTGGGCTCTGCGGGATTTGGGGGTCTGGGGAATTTGGGCTCTGGGGGATTTGGGGGTCCCGGTGCTTTGTGGGGTCTGGGGGCTTTGGAGGGGCCTGGATTGGGGGGGGGGCTCCGGCTTTAGGCCCCGCTTTGACCCTCGGGCCCGGCTGGGGGCCCTGGCCCGGTTCGGGGCCGCTTTCTGAGGCCGTTGTGGAGCCGCGATGTTTCTGAGGGAAGGCGCAGCTCAGAATTAAATCAATTAACACCGGCAATTAACGATTTGTTCCTTTGCTTCCTCCCCCGCGCGGCCGGGCCCGCTCAAGGCCTCAGGCCCGGGCTCCGTTGCCACGGCAACCAGAGCGGGCCGCGCCCGCCGCCATCTTTGGTGCGGCGGGAGGGGGGAGGGGACGAACGAGCGCCACCGCCCCTCCCCCACCGGGCTTTTTTGGGGGTCCCGGTGTGGGGGGAGGGGTCCCGGTGTGGGGGGAGGGGTCCCGGTGTGGGGGGAGGGGTCCCGGTGTGGGGGCAGGGGCGTCCCCAGAGGCTCCCGCGGGTCCCTTTTCCCCCGCGCCGCCATTTTGGGTGCTGGGAGGCGCCATCTTGGGGCGCGGCTGTCATGGCGGCGCGCGGGAAACGCTGTGGGCGCCGCCATCTTGGGCGTGAGGGCGCTGAGGGGGTCTCGAGGAGCTTCCTCGTCCTTCCTCTTCCTCCTTCCCTTTATTCCTCCATTTCCTCCTTCCTCTTCCTCCCATTTCCTCCCCTCCCTTCCCCCAGCCCCCCCAAATTCCTCTCGCTGCCCCCTCCCCTTCCCCACCCCCAAATCCCCATCCAGAATTCCCCTCCCCCGTTCGTTTTGGGACCCTCCCCCCCCCCCCCCTTTTCCCACATTTTGGGGTCCCCAAGAAGGGCCCGGCCCCGTCTGTGCCGCCAAGTGTTTATTTGGGGGGACCCCCCGAATCTGGGGACCCCCGGGGGTCCCTCAGAGCCCGAATTTGGGGGGGGGAGGGGGGGGTCGGTGCTGGGGGAGGGGATTTGGGGTGGGGGGAGGTGAGAGATGAAGTTTTGGGCGGGTCCTGAAATTTTGGGGGTTCCCATTTTGAGGGGGGGGGGGGGGGAGGGATGGGGGGAGGGGAAATTTGGGGGGGATTTTATCGGGGGGGGGGGGGGGGG